CGTCTCAGGTCAAAACTCTGCTCTGGCATGTGAAAGCGCTGTAATCATCAGCTCCTCTCCAAGTGAGGACTGGATGCTTGCCTACTAAGAAATTATCAGCCCATATCGCATCACTTCTAGATAGGATCTCACACTAAAACGCCCACATAATGATCCCATAAAAGTGCTAGCAGAGGGAGCGTGGGTAGTTCGGCATTGGACATAGATTTGGCGGCTAGCCTGTTGTCAGCAATCTCCAACAGCTCTCTACGGGGAGCCTCAAGAAAAGACTTCATCAACCTCTCAAGAAGTGTCTGTATCACGTCAACATGTAATGACTACCCAGTTATCTGCTTATTTCATGCCACATGATCATAACCCTCAGATAAATCTCCCCTGACAGAAAAAGTGTGAGTAGAGCTGTGCGTGTGTGAGGTTCACTTTTTTGACTCCTTTGTATTTTTTCAATCTCACAAATCCCCTTATGTAACTCTAACCTTCATGTTAAGATTATGTTACATTACTACTAGCTCAAAATGTTACATCATCAGAAATCAATGTGAACACATTTGCTGATGGCAAAGATAAGCTGCAATAACTATGAATCACAAGAGAGTAGAGTCAATCTCAAAAGGACTTTTTGAAGTGGAAACCGATACTGAAAAGTCAGTTTCTGTGAAATATGCATTGGAACTAGCCGAGTGAAGGAATTATTCAATGTGTTGCGAAGGCAGTGCTTGTGGTGAGCTCACAGTCCTCTGCATCATGCTCAGCCCTCCTCATCTGTGCGTGGAGAGCGCAGGCTGGAGCACTTACATAACCCAGTTAAAATATACCCCAGTCACATGTAATGTTCAGCCCTGCAGATAGATATCCCACTGTCGTTTGAGCTGCTCTGGCAGCCGTTCAGACGTTACAGAGAGTATAAAAGCACACACACACACACACACACAGATTTGACAGTGATTCGCTGCCAGACATTCTCAACTGCTTGCATGTGAACTGTGTGTGGAAAATGGTCAGAGAGCTTTCTCTCTGAGTGAAGCGCATGTGACTGAGTGGAGTTGGACCGGGGAGAAGCCACAAAGGGAGAGGGAGGGTACATGAAGGGGTGCCGGAAGTCCAGCCCTTTAAAGTCACAAAAATGCATCCAGTATCACCCCCCCTCCACACACACACATGCGCGCGCGCGCCCACTCCACTACAGCTGCTGCGTGCCCGCACTACGAGCAGTCACATTTCTGGTGTGTGGGTGGGGTTAACTCTGCGGAACTAGCATTTACTGTAACAGGATGACATATCTGTAGGTGTGAGCTGCACTAGTGAAAAGTGGAAGACATGTTTTCTTACCACGTTTAACAAGAGTTACAGACTCAGTGACGCTTTGCCCTACATTATGCAAGAAACACTTGTTTAGATTCAGTCCATGATGAGTTCAGGTTTTCTGTCATGTGGAACATTATGTGGAGGTCAGCATGAAACAAGGGCATTGGGAGTGTTTTGTGTGCTTAAAAACTTTGAGGCTTAGATCCAAGCTACAAAGTTCTGTTTCAAATAGATTGATGAGTGCAATTTATATTTCGAAAGATGAGAGAAGGCTTGTCCAAGGCCTTACACTTTGCAGGACAAATGATGCTATAAAAAAAGTTATAAATCACTGCAAGGACTGAATATTCTATTCAACATTAATTGTGCCCCTGCAACGCATGTGTCTTTAAGTTCTGATCCACACCGTCATCATGGCTCACATGTTTGTGTTTACATTTGTGGTCCTCGCAGTGGCTTTAATTGTCGTTAACACAGTTATGAACATTCCAGTCGGTCTTCTTCTCCATCTCCTCCCTCCGAGCTCAAACCAAAACCTGGGCCTCGGTTACAATCTGGCTTTTAGTGGCGAGCAGCTATAATGTGAACAATTCAGTGGAAAGCCTGCTGATTGGTGTCCCAATTTAGCGACACGCTGCACAGTGTAAATGCTGCACACACACACACACACACACACACAGACATGGTAAGACACACACACACACACACACACGTCACTATAAGGTCCAGATTTGGATTCAGGACAGCATATGGCCTAAAGCCAGGGTACACAGAGCTGAGTCATATACACAGCTCATTGCAGGGGACAGCTGCTAGTAAGACAAGACACACACAAACATGTGCCGCTGCCAGCAGCACCCAAACACTCTCACATTTACACCCCTATCCCCTTGCAGCATACTTGCAGGTAAGCACACGTTCTCTCACTTTACACGATGCATGTGAGACGAAGGTCAACTGAGGCTATCAGCGAGCACTTCACACTCCAGTGAGTGTATTCAGTGGCTAGCTATTGCGTTAGACACGTCATCTTGTCTGAAAATGAGAAACAGATTTTGCAATGTCTCACACTAAACTGTACACACATGCATGAAACCCCCAACAGGCCACAGGGCTTCCAAACTTTCTCGGCCCATAGGATGAGGTGTGGCACTGATGGTCACCCATGCACATGTGCTTCTAAAAGTTACGGCATAAGGCAGATGTTCAGTGTATGCCCTATAATAAAGTGGGCGTGAGGCCCTGATTTGGCTTTTATTTTTTATGAATGAGAGCAGGAGACATCCAGTTTCTGTTGGATACAGAATCAGCCAGCCTCTCTGACAAATTGAAAACAACAGTGCCAGTTTTGTATTTGTGTGACTCATCTCGGCTCCTGACAGAAGAACGCGCTGATAAAAGACTTCCATTTGTGAGGAGATGGTAAAATTGCTGCCGTTGTTCTTTATGTGGATGACAAATTGCAGAGCAACTGATTGGAGCCGGATTATTGTTAATACATAAACATTCCCGGAGATCACTCAGAAGATTTAGTGAAATATTCAGAACAATCTCCAATTAAACACTGAAAATCACTTTCAGCAAGAGATGATTGAGTAGATGCGCTAATCTGTTACTTATATAAATGCAGACACTGTTTTCACCTTTCATACTGTGCCCGTGCAGTTTGAAGTAGGCCTAGTGCATGCATGTGCTTGAAATATTTCCTTGATCCAAAAAAAAAATGTCTGTTTCCTGTACTTTGAAGGGGATGTGATGTACTCTCCACAGCAACATGGAAGCCTTGAAGACAAAAAAAGGAAATGAGAGTTTGCTGGGAATCTGTGGGAAGCTCTCAGTTGTCACAAAGTCTGGGGTCGCCGGAGGATCTGGGCCTGGGGAGCAGAACGACGGGAGAGTGTTTATGGGATGTTTAAAAGATCTCGGCGTCTTGCAGAACAATTAAAATTCAACATTAGTGGCTCACTGTGCCAGCAGGCGTGTCACCTCAACCAGCTTTATGGGTGCTCTGGTGTCTTTGCAGTGCATTCTTCACAGCAGGATATGATTAAAGTCAGTTAGAACCCTGCGCTGCCAGTGCCCTTGTCCTGCCTGCTCCTCACTCTGACAGTAGCACATAAATCATGAGTAGCTACATACGCTCCTCTATGATCACTTGACCACAAAATGCTCTTAAAGTCTAATTACCATGGTACAGGCTCATTATAGAGAGCACAGAAGACAGTCCAAGAAGTCCTTCTACATTTTATGTCAAAACAGATTTGCACCCAATCTGGACAGCGTCTTTGGCTCTGTAAACATTTCACATTGCCTTTTCACATGTGACCTGTTCACTCTGAAGAAATGTGTTGTTTTAAATTCTGTTTGTCCTCGTTGCCAACTGAGGGAGACGAGGAGAGGAGGCTGGTTATGCCTTTTGAGTGGGTGTCAACCAGACGCACGTGATCACGTTTGCTGCGAGAGGGTTCGTGACTCACTGGCTCCAGGCTCAGGATCCTCGTCTGGCCTCTGACAGAGCGCTCCCTAATCCCACCCTCTCAGAGAGTCAAACAGAGGTCCTCTGAGTCATGCCTTTACCGTCAGTGTGTCCAAAATAAACAAAAAAACAAATAAGCAGATGCGGTTCAATCTTCTATTACAGACAGTTTACTTATTAGGCTTTAAAGACTGGAGTTTCTAAAGATGAGCACCATGAAATAATGACTAATTGATTTGATCATAATTCATGTTAATGTATCACTCACAATTCAGAGACTGCTCAGGACTCAAATACTTGCAAATTTAGAGATGAACTTGAGTGTCAGAAAGTAAATAAGTACATTTTCTCAAGTAAAATGTTGAAATACATACTTTCCTTGAGTATTTCCATTTGATACTTCAGCTCCACAACATTTTCAGTGGGTATTATTGTACTTTTTAACCCATTGTGTTTTTAGTAGTTACTTATACATACAAAACATATTATAAGTGTTTAAATTATGATACACTGTTACACAGAAAGTATTTAAAGCAGTTGAAATTAGTTCCACCATGGCCAGCTATAGCATTACTGCTCACATTACTGTCAAGAGTAATGATCCAATGATATAATAGTATAACAGTGACATGTTATACCACAGTCTAATGTGTTTATATTATATTTTTTACTTTTGATGATGTAAGCACATGTTGTTGTTTGTTGAGTATTTTTAGTGTGATTTTTACATAAGTGACCTAAATGATCTAAATACTTCCTTCACCACTTATACTAAATTTAGGAAAATGAATGTCTAGACCAGGTGGCCAGACAGTCCATGTTCAATATAGTCTGCTGGAGTGTCCTTGAGCAAACTCCTACATGAACCATCACAGTAGCTAACTGCTGAAACTGCTGACGTCGCTTTTTAACCAGGCTGCTCTGGTTACTGACATGCCACACGTCAGGCATCGTCGTCCAGATGATATAATGAGGAAGAATGCCTTGAGAATGACCAAAACTAGCCCTGGATTGACTTTTTCGCCCCAGCTGCTGAAATGAAACCGATCCGCGTGTCCACGTGTTTGTGTCATTTCCATGTCATTTGCATATGTAAACCGTGCTCGCCTATTGCTCCGCGGCTGCACGGAGAGAAGAAGCCGATTTGTCAGTCGGGGGCGTTGGAGGAGCAAATGGGAGAACCGGTGCCCGCTAATCCCGCCCTCCCAGACACGTTGCCTTGGGAGAAGCAACACGGGCCGATCGCTGGCTGTACGGTCTCACCACTCACACACCGCACGTCCTGCACACATCAGCTGCTCTCTGCCCGCGACAGTACTGCTGGATTTACCGCCTAACAACCGGGGAGTTTAACCAGCCGCTCCATCCGGGGAAGGTACGTTATCCGCATCTCATCTTAATCACCAGGCCCATGCTGATAAACATCACTGGTTGTATGTGAGTGTGGGTGATGATGGTTTTTAAAATTATTTTTAAAATCATCCACAGGAATTTGACGCAGACGTGATGATGACAAATACGCAAACAGTTATTTGTGTTTAAGGATTAATGATATACTGTCACAGATGAAGGCGTGACAATGATAAGCATTCCTGTGTGCGTTTTATATTATCTAACAGTGCAAGCTGCCAAATTTACTATGACTGATGAGGAAGTCTATTGTGTCTGTTAACGTTACCCAACTGATTTCAAACCTGAATTTAGGCGGAGTTCGTGCTCACTTTATCATTTTGTTCCTTTTCTCTCGGTAAAGGCAGCGATGTGTGATCTCTGTATGAGTGGATTACTCATATAATTCATGTCTATCACCGGTTTTTAAAATTATGTGTGTGCAGCCTATGTGTGAAGTGGTGGGTATCATGTGCCCCACCTACACAGGTAGATGGAGACATAGACAAGCCGAATAGCCAAGTAGGACCGCGGCTATCTGAATTTCTGTAAACTGAAAACACTGTAAGATTGCAATCCCATGTGGTGCATTCAAAGGCCCCGGAGTGTGGTATGTGCACGCTGTTTTATAACAGAATTAAATTAAATCAATGCTAAAATGAAGTAATGGCACTCAATTTATACCATATATGATATGATATATGCATGTTATACAATATAATATTCTACAAAGTTTGATTGACTTTGCACTTGAACAAAAATGTTCTTTCTTTATTAAGATTAATTCGTATATTGGAAATATGTTTTAATGTAATATAGGCATTATATATATATATATATAGAGAGAGAGAGAGTTCTACATTTAGTTCTACATATTTGACATTTGTGTAACTTTATAGGCCACTTGGCCCATCTGACGTTTTTTTTTTGTTTAATCAAATTTTATGCCTAACATCTTGAATCTTGATACTAATTCCAAGCTATCAATATGTAGATATTGTATATTTTACAGCTGTTCCCCCTGTTGTGTGGCTGCCCAGCCACTGTGCAAACATTTTCTTTGCACACCGTTTTTGTTTTCAATGAAACTGGTCAACTGTGGTCTCTGCTACCCAGAAGCCATTCTATAACCTGTAATCAGAAACATGTATGTCTTTTTTTTTGGTCTTCTCTGTTTGTGTTATGCTAGAGCTTGTAAAATCAGTAAATCTCTGCTCCACCCAACCTCTTTAACAATAAGATCAGAAGGTGGTCATCTTGAGACAAAGAACTATGGAGACAATTACTCTCCGACCCTCAAATTTCACTGGAGACATGAAACATTACAGGCGTTAACCAGTCAAAACACCAGAAATAATCCTTGTGCTTTGATCTACTAACAACTCAGGAAACATGTTAGAGAGATGTGCCAGTCCCCCCACATGTGTCACTTGTGTGGATGGGAGGTCTGCAGTCTGAGGCACTGGTCGTCATGGTGGCAGACCCCTGCCCCCCTTTGCATAAACACACCAACAATGTTTATGAATGACTGTGATGGTAGCAGCTGGCAGGCCAGCTGATGGAGCCTGAATGTTGAAAAATACTCCCAACTGGTTGATTGTAAAATGTCGAAATTTGTTCTTGTGTGACGTCATGATGTGGATGACCGTAACTGTGAGAGACAAAGTTGCTGAATGCTTGAGGACTTCACAGTGTCACTGTGGACACTGTGTCTGGTGTTTGCTTTTGATAGTGGCTAGCCCGTGTTTACTGGCTCAGGTGTTGCATCTGCAAAACAAACAGGTCACTGTGGTCTCAACAACTGTGGTCTCACTGCCACCATCTGCTCATAGTGCTCTGCTGTGTCTCTGTGTTTATTCATGCTTGTTTTTACTAACCTGCTGTGTTTGCCCAAGGATACTTCAGTAGGGTATTTTATTATTGTGTTTTTACATATATTTAATCTGTTATATCACTGGAATTTGTTACATTTTAGCTACAGTATCTCATCTTCATCACTGTGGCACCTGGTGCTTTTTACGCCTTTCTGTATTGTTGACTTATAGTAACCGTGACTTTCTCTCTGTCAGGTCAGTGATGGTCAGTGCTAGTTAGAGCCTGCAGCCGAGGATGTCTGCTACAGATTCGGACAACTCCATTGACTGGCTGGCTAGTGACAATGAGGACAACGAGAGCGAACAGGAGTCTGACTGTACTAGAAAGCACAGCCAGACAGAGGCTCCTCCATCCCCCAGCGCCCCCGTCACACCTGGGCCCGTCTGACAGCAGCTGCCATCGGAGCAGCGAGGTGAAGGAGGGCGTCAGTAACTGGAGCGAGGTCAGGGAGGCCTCCAGTCGGGGCTCTCCCCCCAGCTGCACGGAGACATGGGACAGCGCCATTGGACTGTGTAGTACACAACAAGGAGAAAAAATGAATGGCAAGAACACTCAGCAAGCACTGAAGAGACCTCACAGCTCCACAGAGGAGGGTCACAAGGAACGGCAGCTCATTTCCAATGTGTCAGAGAAAAAAATATTTTTCAGCAGCAAGGTGAGCACCTCTGTGACTTATGCCTGCCTGCCCACATGAGGTGGTTGACACTGTCAGCAAAACTAGAGCATGCCCTATCACCTAGATTGGCCGCCCTCGTGTGCTAGCTTTACAGTGTCTAATGCATGACATTTTCCAGTAAAGATGACACTCCCCTGTAACTCTATAAACAAAATTCGTCATGCTTTTCTGAACAACTAGAGTCATTCTGTCATATGTCAAACTCAGTCAATCAACAGAACAGTAGGGGGAGTCAGGGGTTATCTAAATCATGCTGGGCAACTTTTATATTAAAATGAACAGTAGTTTATGGAAGGTGGTTTGATATCAGCTTTTCAAAAGGAGTTTGACAGAGATATCACCTACAAACTAATCTGTTTTCTCTTTCAGTGCATGGAGCTACAATGCTACATTCATCCGCTGTCATCTATCTTGAATGGCCTTCGTTCGGGGAGATACAGAGAACGTAAGTCGGACATTTAATATCGTTTCTGTTTTTATCTTCAGAAAAATCTCTATTAAACACAACTGTTTCTTAGTTAAGTCTGCACCCCTGTCTCTCCGTCTGTCTCTCCATGCTCCTGTCTTACTTGTGTCTCAGCAAAAGACTGGATCGACAGCGTGCCACTCTTTATGAAATACTTGTCCCTGAGATTTGAGAGCGAGATGTCTGAAACATGTATTGTTGTAAGACTATCAAGTAACATCAGGTATTTCCTGTGTGTGTGTATATCTTTTATAATCGGGCTCATTTAGGGTAAAAGTCCACTAAGCAGTTAAGAAAAACACATTTTAATGTTGTTTTTTAAGAGCAATGTCACACTTCAGACTACTTTGTAACCTAGCTGCTTGGCAGAGGCGAGTGAGAACATATTGTGCCACAGTCTCCAGCAAAGCAGCAGCTGTTCGTGAGTCGTCTGATAGGCATTATAAGGGTCTCTGGAAGGTGTGCCATGTTCAGACAGGCTCTGAAAACTGCTTCATTTGGGATCTTTGTCAAACCCAAACCTTGTGTGACCTAACACTTCCTGGCCACAGAGGCAAGGAGTCTGTTCCCTCACACACACACACACACACACACACACACATTTCACACAACCCATATGCTCCACAGACTCAGCCCTGCTGTCAACACAGTTCCTGTGGCTCATGGTACAACTTTCTTCTTTTCTAGGACTCAGCAGTTTCCAGGAGAGTGTGGCCATGGACAGGATTCAGAGGATCATGGGTGTCCTGCAGAACCCCTGCATGGGGTAAGTGTCTTCATTGTGGCCCACATGTTGTTGTACATCAAACGATGAGCTCTATCATCTTATAACATTCAGGACATCTCCTGTGTATGATATTGTAGCCACAAACGCATTTTGGGACACACATGTGCTCTGTCCAACCTGTGTTGTGTCTGTGCAAGTATTTACTGAAAGACTGGATTTCTTCCAGTCCGATCAGATTCACAATTACAATAAATTCAATCCCAGCATACAATTACGGTAGCTGGAAATTGTGTTTGCTGTCTGTGGGTCAAAGTGGTATCCAACATGTCTGTGACACATGGCTCACAGCAGGTTGCCCTGCGAGGAGCTGCTACCCCCACACATTCAGGATAAATTTACTGAGGAGATGGCTGGTTCTCACTATAGCTGGGCATCTTGTTAAAAATGTATCAGGCTCTACTGGGAGCAGCACACTTGTGACTGCTTGATTAGCTGTCCCCTGGCCTGACGGTATAATGAAGTATGATATCACCCATTTAAAGGAGAAAGTCACTGTAAAACAATCATTTTTAAATGTTTTGAAGTTTTACATTCGTTTTACGTCATAAAATAGCAAATTCAGATTTTATGGTATCAATATTTAAATTTTTTGATAAAAATTGATATGAAAAAACATATATGAAAAATGACTAATAAAACTGATGTCCTGTGCCATTTATTTGACATTTCGATAGACAGAAAACCCTTCACATGTGTGAAACAAAAACTCTATGAAAACCATAGCTTAGTTGGCAAGGTTTTTGATTTCAATTTCCTTTAAATCATTAATTACCAACAGTCAATAACCCACAGTCAAAAACCTAATAGGATTTCATTTACATTGATATAAAAGCACATCACATTCTAAATGCTAGAACCAGTGATTATCATTTATCAAAGTTATTGTCAACCTATTTTCTGTTAATTGGATAACCAAATGATAAAATCAATTTTACTGCTATAAAGGTCAACAATGTGTAAAGAATAATAGCACATTATGATCATGTCAACACAGTATGATACCATTGGAAGTTTATAAATGAAACAGCAGCTTCATGTTCCCCTTAATCTGAATTCAAAGCAGCATCAAGGTATACCGATATAAAATAAAATGTTGCTGAGTTTGGCACAGACTAATTGGAGCCCTCTCCCACCAGCTGCTGCCTTCATATGGGAGACAAAGAGTGGGTGTGGCAGCCTCCCTGCAGACTGCTGGGGCAGAGGCTGGAAGGTGGACTAAACTCCTCCCTCCTTCCCTCCGTCCCTGTGCCTGCTCTGTGTTGCCAGCTGGCAGCCCCTGCAGCAACACAATGGCAGATAGGATCAAAGTGACTTTTTTTTAGCAGTCACTGTTGCGGATAATCTTTCACATGAATTTAACATGCTCTGAATGGAGTATAGCAGGAAGGTCCTGATCATATGCCACAGGCTAATCCCTACCTACCATCTGGTTTTGACGGGTAAGAGTTAATGGGATGCTGCTCTCTGCTGCCCATCTCTAACGAGAACTGCGTCACCACGACTAGTTTATGTTCAGAATGGCGCTGCTGGAGACATTCACACACACAGTCATTGGTGTTTATATTTAGAGGCGAGCAGAACTGCTATACACCAGGCCACGTGTGAGCTCAAAACATGTGAGAAATGTACTTAAGACAATTTCCTCCACACACACGGAGCACAGGCTTTGCTAAGTGAGTGTAAGTGTTGACTTGCTGTTTAAGATTGCGTATTTCCTGTCTGAGCTTGATGGAGAGATAAGATTTCAGAGAAGAAGCTGGCGAGATTTTTGGTAGATTACTCAGATTCACGCATCATGGCATAAGTAAATATTCCTCTTTCTCTCCCTATTTCTTTCTCTCCACCTCTCCGTCTTTCCCTTTTTCAGGGAGAAATATATTAATATCATTCTTAAAATGGAGGAAATGCTGAAGAGCTGGTTCCCTAATGTAAAACTCCAAGACCAACTCGCTGCCACCCAGACAGAGGAAGTCATTCCTACCAAGAAACCGAAGGTAAAGTTAAAAGCAGAACTGTTGTGTAAGAACTCTACAGATAGACAAGGCCTGCTGCCAAGAACATATGGTGTTGACGCAGTGAAAGAGAGGCTAAAATGTTTATTATTATTTAATCACAGGTCTGGGAAAGGGAATGGAGCATTAAAAGCTATTTTTTCTGAGGTTTTACTGCAGTCTCAGGTTCGTTAAGAACAATGACAGAGGAGAAAAGGTAATTTTGGAGGAGTGTCCCTAAAGAGATAAGAAAGGTCAGAATACTCTGGAACATTCCTTTGCATTTCATTGGTGAGGATTTTTTTTCTGTGGCTAATCCTGGCACCCTCCCATAAACAGGATTTTCATGTGCCATTTTCTTCAGTCATTACAAAGAAAGTGTTTTGAGCTTATATAACTGCTCATACTGTTAGTTAATGTTGCTATAATCAATCAATATTTTTCTATTAACAATGGATGAAATTAATATTCATGAGGTGAAAAGGGTCGTACATGGTGACAAATCAACAGAGAAATATCACCCAATTCTGCAGCAGTATTTTAGCTTCTTTTAGCTCGCAGTCTCGTCTCTCTCATCAGTGTTGTTTTCAGCCACAGCAGGCAGCTTTTTTCAGCTCTGATAAACCCAGTGTGCCCTACCTGCCTAACACCAAACAGCAGGCTGATTAAGTTAGCAACTACCTAGTGAACATAATGGAACAGTTAGCCTCTAAAGAGCCTGATGTTTTTCTCAGGAGTTGTGAGAGACCACAACAGAGCTAGAAGGAGAGTGAGTATTGGATTTAAATTTGCCAGGTGGCCAGAAACACATCTTCCAATAAATGCTAATATTGCTCAGTCTGCTGAATACGCAGCTGTTTGCTAACAAATTAGCCATGTGAAAAAATATGTCAATCTTGTGTTTACAACTTTTGTGCTTCCTCCAAGGGGCCAAAAAGGTAAATGGTCGCTGGTTTAAAGCCATAATGTGTAGACTCTTTATGTGATTATAATATTTATTATTATTATTTCATATTATTCTGATTGTGTACTAGTTTGTTTTAAAGAAACAGAAAGGAAGACTAGAAAAGAAAAAATGGAAGGTGACAGTGTAAATTGGTGCAGTTTATGTTGCGTTCAGCCTATTTTTTAGCATTCCCAGGACTACCACTGGGGGGCACCAGAGTTGGAAATATTCAAACCCTTTTCACAGTGGCTTTAAAAGAGAAAAAAGTTATATTATAGGTTATATATATATATATATATATAAATGAACAGAATTTGCCTTCTGTGAGAACCCTGGCTCACTGTCCCGGAATGATAAATGAAAAAATAAATGAAGTTAAACTGTGTTTCTTTCTTTCACAACAGCTATCGCCATTGACCACCACCGCAGACGTGAGCCCCGTCACCATTAGTGATCTCCCAGCTGGCGCCAAAGCCCTGAGAGTCACCGACCTCACTCCTCCTGGAGCCTACTCTGCCAGTAACCTGAAGTGGCTCCACACGTCACCCATCTGCTCCCCCACAGCAGAGCAGGCCCAGGCTGGCTCCAGGCACCTGCTGTCCCCCAGAGACAGAGACCTAACGCAGGACAGTGCTGTGTCGTCCAGCACAGACAGTCAGACTAAGACAGACTTGGTGCCTAGAGGCCCCCCGCCGGGCAAAATCAACGCACCCTGTCTAGAGAGGCTCCTTAAGTCGACAGAAAGCATCATCACCCGCAAGGGGACGGGGGGGTTGATGGACAACAGCTGGTCCTAGTCCATACGGAGGACTGCATGTCCAGCTGTAAGCACCGCACAGCCCAGCCTAGCCCTTGCTTGCTTAGCCCATTCCAGCCTTCGGGGAGACAGGAGCCTTCAAAAGGGATGTCACAGATTCCTCTTCAATGTGGAAGGAGTGTCGACGAACAAGTTGTACTTTCTGTATGGCAATGTGCCCCCTCTGACATGACAAGTGTCTTCTTTAGTTCGCCTTTGTTGACTTATCTCTGTTTTTTTGTTTGCACTCTTGAATAGTGTGTGTGAGAGTGGGAAGGATAGATTTCACATGCCGATATCACCGGAGCGAGTTATTTCACAACTGAATTGTTCCCACTGGCTTGTAGATGCAATAATACAGTTTAAGTATGTGTGAAACCGCCATTATGCCTGAAAGGGAAATAATTGCAGGAGTAGTTTGGAAGGGAGAATTTCAGATAACCAGACATGTCAGTGGTCCACATATAGTTGTGCTGAAAACGTGGGTGAAATGTGATGTTACCCCCCCACCCACCCCCCCCATGACTCCACTCTTAAGTTTATTGATGTGACTGTTACTCATTTGTATACTTTATAAATAAGTCTTTTGGTACAACTGTTCTACCTCAGTGGGCACCACGTCACAGATAGTGAGTAGGAATGTGAACGCTACACTCAAAGTCTGGACACCTCACCAGATCTGCAGTGAGCCAAACGGCCTCTGGCAGCGAGGTCTGCAGTATGACTCGTTCTGCTTGTACAAACAGAGGATGCTCTCTCCGTGGGGATGCTCTTGTGGCCTGACTGGTGCCATTGTAAAGAATGTCAACTGCAGATTTATTTTTTGAGTCTCCCAGTAGAAGGCAATCAGTGCCTGTAATGTCAAGCTGTGCCTGTAAGCCGGTTTGAAAACGAGAGAGAACCGCTCAGAATACCTGCTCCTCTGTGGGATGTACAAATCAGGAATTCTCACTCTCCTGCCATTTTCCTGTATTGAGTAAATTATTCAGCTCTTTGCCAACTACTTTCTGTGGTGGAGTAGAACAATTCTTTTATTTTGCCACAGAACTGGACTGTATGTTTGACCAGCAGAGAGGGACAAGGTATTTCTCTGTGTAGATCTTACAGAAAGGTTGTCGATTTACCCCGAAAAGTGGCCTTTATAGTGTGAATTTTTATACTTTCAAAATAAATGTGGTTATATTTGTTTGATGCAAAATGGCTACAGATTGTTTTATTGTGAATTTTCTAATACAGGCTGGTAGAAGTTTGTAGAGAATCCTTCTTCTCACATTCTTCAGCTCTTTCACCTTTATGTTGAGTGAAATATTCAGAAGCACTTTGCAGTAACACAAAAACAGTAAGACATAGGGGGAAAGACCAACTGTCTCAGTAAAAGGAATCTGTGAAATAGCCCATTGTAAGTCTCAACCGAGTTCAATTAAGCATCAAGAACCCCAAAGAAAGGTTGCTGTCTGATTTATATCGCAGTTAGACCAATTATAGGAGCTCACTTCCTGAAGGAATAATGAGATGTATTGTTTGTAAGGCAGGATGTAATTTTCAGTAATTCAGTTCTGCTTTACAGACAAAGTGAAATTTTTGCTTTTACAGAAGTGCGTTGAAATGTAACAGCTCAGTATCACTTCACATTTCTCACAAAGCGTTGCTGGCATGGTTAGGCAAGGTGTTGTTTTTTTTCTCTTCATACATTCAGTTTCTGTAACTACAGAAAAGCCAGCCAGCAGAGGTAAAACTATGTAAACCGCCTGTACTACACATACAATTACAACTCATGGAATGATAATAACAGCGATAGTGATAGATATATAGGCATCAATTTTAGTAAAGAAAAAATATATCACTGGAATGCATTTGCATGTGTAAAATATTGGGTGGATTTGAAAATTCTGCAAATTGTTTCAGAAAAAAGCGATGAGCCGGCTACTGTAGAAAATGAGAAGATTATGATTGCACTATATGACCTTTTAGTGGTAGTTAAATATACTTTGTAAAGTTCTGTGTGATACAAGATGCAATTTTCTACTCCTACTGCCTGGAGCTGTACGGCAGTAGGCACAGTATTTCTGCCAACTACAATTTAAAACGACTAGTTTCACCAAATCTCTAACTGAATACAGCCATCTATAGGTGAAAAGGTAAACATGAGCTCATATTGCTTTGCTAACATAACTCTATAGGTGTTTCCTTCATGGGGAAAAGAAGCACTGTAGCATATCATGAAAGGTTTCTTATTTCCCTTATTCTCATTTGAAAAATACACATTCTTGAAAACGGCAATATAATGCTGCGTTGGAGCCGCTTTTATTTGTTAAAGGAAACCTTGGTGATTTTGAAAATTTTTCTGAAACCACTATGATACACCAACTGTGGATTCCGTTTCACTCAGCTTATGCCAGGCACATTTTCTTTTCCTCTGTCACCTTATAAGAACATGAAGTATTCACAGAGGCAAACAGAAGTTTGTGGGAGTACTGCGGTCTGAAAAACAATTTGTCATGGAGTTAAGGAGATGGAAAATGGTAAATGTCTACCTTTTATTGTATTTGTCTTTCTCTGAGTTACTCAGTATAGTCAGGGGTGATTTGCAGTAGCTAGATGGTTCAATTACCCACATTGCATTGTTTCAGCGTTGCCGCCCCAAATTCCATCTCCCAGGGCAAGGCTAATGGTCTGGACTCACGTGCGCAGACGACCTGACAGCATCCATGTCCAAAGCTGGCACAGATCTGCCTTGCACTTGCCCTGAAAAGGGAAGTTGTTATGAATGTAAGGAAGAGCTGCATCAACAAAAAGGCACCTTTCTCATGAGGGTTGGACCACATCGCATTGTGCCGTTATAAGGTTGCCAATAGTGAACATGTGATGTGCTGGGAAATTATACGGAAAATAGAAAGTGCAAGGCATATGAATGTAATTTTAAAAAAAGATTTAAAATGTATTTAAGGCTTTATTTGGGGTGCATTCCAAAATTTATTTGAAGCCATGAATGGCTACAAGTATGTTTATTGGAGGATACTTCTCACATTTTGTGTTATTTAATTTTTAATTGTGAAGGTATCAAATTAAGGAATGTTCTGCATAATTGCCATCTTGTGAACCTAAAGAAGGCAAATCATAGGTGCACAGAAAAACCAACAAATGCCAGACTGCCCTATACTTGATAATGAATCAGATGTTTATTAGCTCAGCTATGCGCTCAACTGTATAACTGGGACCAGAATTATCCGGTACATTATAGATTAGTATTACCATGGACAAGAAATCATATTGCTTTCCACTTTAAAGGTTCACATAGGTTATACTTTACAAAACTGATTGATGTCCGAGTGTTTTGTCCAAGATATGTGTGGGCAAAACTACAAACACTGATCATTACTAGAGGAACAGAGATGGGAGCCTTTTGTTGGAAGCATTCAAAGGCAAGTGGGAGAGAGAAAAAGGGAGGAGGACAGGTCCATGGTTCTAGTTGCAAAAAGCCGGAAGGAATAATAAATAGGGCGTCTTTCTCTCCAGCTACCCTTTCATTGTACATTGGCCTTGATTTGAGCTCCAGCTGAGTGTGAAATGACAAGGCAGTGTGGTGTTGAATCAGAGCCAAGGTGGCTATGTTTCACTCTGCTTGTTATGTAGCCTACTGTATCTACGTAATTCATTTTTCAAGTGTTCCCGGACAGAAAGAAGCAGATGTGAAATCACCTCCCAACAGTTAACTACCCCAATCTATTAATAGATTTTTTTTTTAAAGAAATACTGTAGAGATAGCATGAAGTGAAAAAAAACCTCTTCATGCTATAAAAAGGTCTTATCATGTCAGTGCAGTCAGTGAATATAGTGCAGATAATTGCAGAATAATAAATATGTTCTTCAAGCTGTAAGATTCAAATTACCAACTACATCCTTGTCCAACTACAACTTGCCTCCCTGTAATTCAACAGTTAGATGCAGTCTGTGTTAATGCTCATCATGGCTGTAATCTTTAATCCAGCAATTTTAGAAGGCAAATCAAATGAATGAAGACAACTTCATGGAAAATCAAGGCAATTACACGTGCTCCTTTTCCTGAGGAGTCCATCAAAACAAACTGAATGCTGGTTTCCTCCATAATTTACAAGTTGTGAGAGCAGCAGGAGTTGCGAGGAAGAACAGCATGTTTCAGAACATTCTGCAACTTCGCATGAGAATGTCACACATTTTGATCGGATTCCCGCCAAGCAAGGAATGGACTCATTATGTTATTATGAACTGTACAGCTGATTCATTCACACCCTACAGAGATAATGGTGTCATCTGTCAGATGACTGAGCACCTTTAATTAAGAGACCTGTGAACCCAAAATATCCCCAGCTCAATTATTATTAGAACCGGTTATACAAATGATGAAACAGCCACCGCAATCCATAGCTGCTTTTCACATGGTCAATCAACACTCGCATTTTGCATAAACACTGGGGAGGTCTGGTCGGTCATTGTCCTTGGTAAATCAAGTTTTATGGGAGGTTACACAAAACAAATGTAATTTTGTAGCTTGTTATTTATCATTTGTAGTTTAATTCCACAGTATGATGATGTGGATGAATCAATGCTGTATGAGGGAGTCTGCTGTTTCTTCCGGATATTGCAGTGGGAGTATTCCTGTCTCTGGAGCCAAACAACCAACAAGTAAGTGCATCACCAATGCAGAAAGTGGTAGACTGAATTCGATATAGTGCAATTGATTTTGCCATCTCCAATAGGTTAGTGGCAGCACCTTTTTAAGTGGAAGAACACTGTTCAAAGTGCACTGTTGCCCTTCTGCGTAGATGTTACCAACAGTCTTGATTTTGAATATTTCTTCAAATACCAGGTGTTTGTTGTTTCAAACAGCAATGGTGAAATGTACCTGACGTGTTAATGGTTTTAACATTAAAGATAAATTGTACTTGATAAGTTGCTGAGGAGATATTTTTTACAGGTGTGACAAATGCTTCACAGAGCATGTTCAGAGCAAAAATGATGAGGGTCATTAAGGAGATAATAAACTTATTAAACTTATTAATTAACTTACGCTATGTTAACATGGACTTTTAAAGACTTAACACTTGCTCACTATGTTCTCACAATTTGGTCAGCTGTCATTGATTTAACATGTTAGACAACCTCTATTTTTCATGGGTTAATTTTTATGCAGTTTTTTTTTAATGTGGACCATCAGTGCCATAGAGACTAATTAAGTGAGCGAGGCATCATTAAGCCCTTATACCAAAACCATCCACATATTGCCAGCTCATTACCTGTACTTACTGTTGCAGAGGATGATTCTTGTGGGCTTTTGATCTTCCTGGAAGACGCAAACTATGCTCTAAAAGAACAAACAAGAATCCCTTTAGCCCAGAGCATTTGGGAATTCTCATGTCCCTTTGGGTCTATATATGCAGTGTATATATGTAAACCCCATATGGACCTTAATGCCTTATACCAGTGGGGGTGTTTGGATTTATAGACCATAACACGGTCAACAACCACTTCAAACAATCATAAAGCCAATTCTTTCCTGTCAAGAAGAGGTAAATTGTTCTCAGTCTAGAATAATCATATGAACTATGTATAAAAATAGATAATGCAGTACATCTTAATTAACACCATGTTAATTACAAATAATAGTATTGCTTTCAATCCTGAGGCTATAAATGTCTGCCACATAAGTTGGCGGCCCATTTTGAAGCTTTGTCACATTTGCAGTTACTCTTAAAGCTGCAAAATACAACTTTGATGAAAATGTCAACCAATCAAATGTCAGGCTTTGCCTTAAATGGGGCGTACTTGTCATCCTGGGTATCTTAATGAGCAACACCTGTCACCTCTCTTGGGTCTTAACACTCAGGTACTGTACTGGGGAAGCAGGTTGCTAAGGATGAGATCACCAACAAAGACATGACATACCAAGAGCACAGAGCCTAAATATGGCCAACTTCATTAAGTCTCACTTCCAAGAATAGGGGGCGGACTATGCTCTTGTAGGTATGAATAATGGAAGCAGCCTCTTGGAGCTCATTTCCAGGGAGTGATCATCATGCTCAAGTATGGCCTAATGATCACACATATAAAGTGAGAGGCTGGCATTCATGATTAATGCCCTCAGGTCTGTCTCCAGAGTTACACAGCCTCTCTGTCTTCTGGAGGTTCTGTTCACCGAGCACACAACGCAATTTTCTCACAGA